AACAGTAGCACTAACCTAATAAGCATTTCAGTCAGAACTCTCCGAAAATTTTCCATAACGGCAAGAAAAATAATGTGAATATGTGGAGTATATTTGGGTCTGCGTGTCGGGGGATTGCGCTATTTTTCGCTTTCCGCACATTCAAAATATTTTTCTGGTTATTCCAACAAATAGAGGACAAAATAATGTACGCTGTTATGTATATACAATAAATATAGGATATGATTTTTTTCACATGACATTTCGAATATTTTTATGCAATGCATATGCAAATATTTCGCTCATGTGAGAACGCAGTAAAGCAATCCATTTTTTTCTCGGAATTGTTGTCAATTTCCTATTATTTCCTGATTTTTATCAGGTACGACTGCTGTCATTGTCAATATTTATATGCATGTGTACATTAAGGGATATGGATTTTGCCCTGCAAACAAAAGGCAAGGGAAATGGTTAATAAAATTATTATTAAAAAATCAGAATATTGCATATCAAAATATTCGAAGTTTTAAAAATTTAATTTTATGCAGTTTTGTTGTCTGTGAAAATAACGCTCAAATAAACTATGGGAAGGGGTAACGAGGTGTTATAATGTATATGTTTCATTTATTACTTAATTATTTCATAAGTATAATAATTATTGACATAAGTTATGAGTCATTTCATATTTTAATATGTTATAAAATTTATTAATGAAAATGAAAGTTTGAATTTTCTGGAACCAGAAGTGTTTGCTCTATGATCCCTAGCTTGATGAGGGAATGGCTTTCTAACATGTAACGTTGCGGTAATATAACCTCAAAATTTGTCAAATTTTTTGTTATTAGTAAGATTATTTGTTCTTAAAGTAAGTTGTTCAGATATTTTCATTATACTGGAACGAACTCGGTCATCAGAGCCACCATTAGCGAAAACAGGGTGCACTACAAGGCATTCTCAGCTTATTGCATGCATAGCCAATCCACAGTAATAAGGCATTCTCAGAAATAAAAGAGTTTGTGTGTGAAGAAACTGGATCCTATGGATTTTTTATTATAGATAATTATTTTTATTAATAATTATAATAACCATTGCAATTGTGAAACTATAGTCGTAAATATAATCAAGCCTTTCGTTTTTGAAAAAGTTTTTATGAAAAAGTTTTATTTTAAAATGACTATTGTTATTTAAATTAAATAACTTTTGGTTTTTAAAAATATTTTAATTTTTTTAATTGTAATTATTTTTTATAATTAGAATTTTACTTATCTATGACATGAATTCTATTTTATAACGAAAGCAGGTAACATTGAGAAAATTTCAATTCAAAAAATTTTGTATTGAATCAAGTTATTTGCTGAGCTGGGGATATAACTATTTCAGACATCCATTCAAAATTATTAGTCAAAATACCTCTTAAACCATAATTTCTTACATAATTTTTGGACAAAAATTGAGTTTTTAATTCAAATTTTTTTTTATGTACAACTGATAACGCTAAACAAATATCATCAGTGTTGAAAGGATATATCTAATAGTTTAACTGTTCATATATTTTGTAATTCTTAGAGAGCACCACATATCTGTTCTGGATACCACCAAATATAACAATAATATTTATTGGCTCAATGGAACATATATGTATATGGACTGCAAATATATTAAATTAAATCTGCCAATTTGAAGCTGTGGTCTTTCATATTAACCACAAAGCCAATGCACATGCTATTTTCGTATAATCCACAGTTACTCGTACTTAAATTTCCTTAATTATATAAATTATTGTTTTTTTTTATTTCCTGCCTTGACTACAGTATTCGATTACACACAAAACTCTTTAAACTGGTTTACATAATATAACAATCGTGCATATTTATGATAAATAATAATTTATAATAGTTAATTAAATTTATATAGCTGTGGTTTATGCTTTATTGTTGTGTAAAAGTGAATAATTAAAATTGAGAAACTTGAATTTTAGTTCAGATTGGCATTATTTGTTTGATTGTTATTCATTCAAGGATCTGTTGATCCTCAGCGGTACCTAATTGAGTAAAACATCGAAGTAGATTTTGAAATCAACATTTAATTTTCATCGAATTTAAAGAATACTTAACAAAGCTACTAAGCATTTTTTTAAAAAAAATTTTTAAAGCGGGATTAAAAGAATTTTGAAACCCTGTGTGGTTCTAATATATAGGTATATAGTGTGTTATATGGGCGTTCAAACTCAAAATTTGAATAACACAAATCAAGTCTTCATTGGCATTGTGTGTTAAAACGCTGGTCCACTGTTCAATTTAGTTACTAAAAATGTTTTTTAAATGTGTGAAACAGCTGTATGGTCAATAAATTAATTTTATTAGAAGTCAATTTTTAAACTTTGAATTAGTAAAAATTTTTAAAAAGACTTCCATTTTTTTCGAGTTCAGCATTTTATATTCGTGGTGGCAAAGGAATAATATAATATAATTTTATTAAGTCTATTGAATATTGCATTAGACTGTCCAGACTTTGTATCATCTGCTGTACTTTCTTTACCTTTCTGAAAATGTTTAACCGTATCGGCGCCAAAGATCTTTTTTAACATTGGAATATTTGGCTGCACTTAATTATTTATTAAATATTCAACAAAAACTCACAGATCCGATAAATTTCCATACAAATAATCATTAAACGCACTAATTTAGATTTTGATCAAACTAACTATCGCAACTGCCTGAGAGATACTGCCATATACTTTAGTGGCAGTGCAACCAACACACAAAAAAAAATTCTACTCAATAAGCAAGATATAGCGTACAGAGTTTTAAAGTTTTTTTTACTTTCAACAGGTTCTTTATATCCAAATTTAATTGAGTACTATTTAATTTTGCCACTAAGGTCATCTGTATTATTATTACCATTTCTCTTATGTTATATGACTATTTCAGACCACATCTAATAATTTATTTTTCTTCTTCATATCAAAATAAACTGTTACCATTGAATGGTTTATAATAATAATAATCATAATATTACAATCAATTTATCAACACCCATTTTTCCCAATAATTTCTGTAATAATAAAATACTTTTTTCCTTCTCTTTTTATGAAGAACATATTTTGCAAATCCACGACATCATCGCTTAAATTCTTGAAGACCCAAATAATACGATATTCTTTGAACTAAATTGCATCAATTTTATTTGACGATAACAATAAAAATATTCGTCCAGAAAATAGTCTCAACGGAATGGCGAATTTGTGAACACAATGTATTTCAATGAATTCCTCAAAAAATAGGTAACCTCATTAGGACTCCGAAGTGCAACCCCACAACCCCTGCTCTCGAATATGTTGTCGTGTACTTGAACTTCAAAAAGAATAGCAAAAGGAAATTCACATAAAATTGATATATGCGTTGAGGAAGGTGTTTTAATGTGCTTTGATTCCGTGTGTAACGAGGGGCTCAGGTTAAGTGTTTCCACTTGAGTGATGAGAGTTTATTCAAGTTAAGTGCACATAATCGCTGGAGCACATGTGAAAGGGAGATATGCGTACCGGCACAAATGTGTGGCTAAGTGTCGGTAAAGGGTTAAAGGCTCTGAGTGGAAGTGTGAATAAGTATGTGTCAAGTGAAAATGTAAAAATGTGTTTCTCATTTATTGCGTTACTTCAATTGTTTTATTTTAATTTGAGTTCATAATTTTTTATTAATCGTATATGCTTATAGGTACTTTAAACATTAATTTATTTTTAATTTTGACTTAAAAAAAATTTCTTTTTTTTTGAATTATAAATATGATGATGATGATATAAATTAAAATTTTATTTTCGAAACAATTTTTAAATAATTGTTAATTAAATAAATTTTATAATTTGATAAAAAATTTATTTTAAAATTATTTTAATTATTATAATTAAAAATATTCATTTTTTAGATTTATTAGTTTCATTGACCATTTGATTAAAAACTATAATATATTATTTATATTTAAACAAATTATATTTTTATATATTTGTTTAAATATAAATAAAAATAAATTATAATTTTTAATAAAATAACCAATTAGCCCGCTCAAAAAATATTATAGAATTATAGAATAAAATACATTAATTTCATTGTTTTAAAATAACTGAAATTTTTTATGATAATATAATTAGTTGAAGATTGTTTTTTTTTTTTAACTTTTTTAAATATATTACAATATTATTATTATGTTGAAGCTATTTGATCCAGTGCACTTGAGTACTTTTACTCTTTATTTACTCAAGGTATCTTCAAAACCTCTCCTTACGCCTTGACTGGATTATTGTTTGTTATTATATATATATTATTATTATTATATATTTTATATTATATATTAATATTATCTGTTGCTTTTTCACCCAATTTTAATTATCCAAATCATTATCGTGGATTTGCCCATGTTGCTTTTGAAATAATGTGATGATTGCTTTTTCATTTCTGTAAGAAACTATTCCGTATGAATTTATCCAAAACACAGTAGATAAATTCTTGGATAAATTGTCTAAGTGCGTTTGTGATCATTGATCCTCTTATTTACTACATCATCACATCATCACCTATATTACATACGGTTGTTTCTTATTTATTTCTTATAATATTATGAACTGATGAACATTTTGATAATGTATTCTTGATACCTATTTACTCTTTCTTAAAGCACTTCCTTCATACTTCTTCCATATCTTCTGGAATTATCTTCCATATATTATCAACATCAAGCAGGAAATAATAGTTAGGTTAGGTTAGGTTGAAGTGACGGTTCTGTGTCCTCAAATAAAAGTTCATTTATTACATATTCTATTTCCTTTGATAATCGCTGATATAACTAATATTTATTAGTTAAGTTCTAATTTTTTAGATGAATAATCGATTAAATTTTTTAAATTATATTCATGCGCACATTTTTTATAATTATTTTATTAAATAATTATTATTTCCATTATTTTCACGATACTATTTTATTTGTATTACTTTAAAAAATTTCATTGTTTTTCAATTTAGACATGTGTATTTATTAAAATAAAACTTTTATAACTTAATAGATTTTTATATATAAAAAATAAGAAATTAACTTGATTAAACTATATCTTATATCGAATATATCCTTCTAGCAGGGCGGAACCAATTTAATATCTAATATTGCTTATTTACAAGCTTCTTTGCATTTTTCATCATCTTCACAAATATCGCATAATTTAGACTTTGACTCATAGTAGTCCGTAGCTTTCTTGCTGGTATCGTAGTAATCGTATAAGACAATAGTCGCTGGTTTCTGTAAAGCAACTGGGAAGGCTTTTACAGCTTCAACTGGCACACATTGCTCTTCGGATTTGTGCAAACTCTCGAAGTAAACCACAATAACTGTATCGTCCTTTTTGGTTTCAATTTGCTGAAATGGTAAGATGAAAATAGTTTCAATTAAAAGCTACTTCATACAAATATGCGAATAAGAGCTTTAATGATGACAATAAACAATATTCTAAGTATACTTTATTCTAAACATTTCTTAAGAGAAACTCCTCTCTTTAATATATATATCAAATACTACTTACACGAACTCTCTTCACTTTATTAATCTCTTCAAAGGTTTCCTTTTCAGCTATATAGCCAGAAGGTAGTTCAACTTCCAATATAGCCATATTCGAAGCATCTCCTTCACCAGTGTATTCAACGCACACCTGCATTTCTAATTTGGAAGGTGGTGCATTCGGGTGCTTATTGGTTTTTATAACAAAGCTTGGCTTCTTGTCTTTCTCCAATATATTATATTGATAAGAGACTTGCACCAGTGCGGTACCTTTGCCATTCAATTTAAAGTCGATGGCATTGGTTTTGGGTGGCAACTGTAGAATACAGCAAGAATAAAGATTATTTATAATTTTTAGTTTGCACTTCAATTCACTTTAACTTACTTCAACAATTTGCATGAGTACAGAGTTGCCTTCGTTTATTTTAAGGGACTCCAGTTTTTCCTTATCACCTTTGGCTTTTATGCTGACATCAGCCTCTGCAGGTGAATAATTGTATTTGATTGCAAACTCTATCATGGCTTGTAGACCGACAACAGTGTCCTGGGTAGAATAGAAGCCACCATAGCTGTTACGTTGCGCTACAAGCCATCTAAGTATTGGTAGAAGGCTCTCGCTAGTTTCGTTTTCGGATTGCAATAAGTTCAGGAGCATATATGCAGTGTTTTCCACATCACTGCTGAATGACCAACGCCATAAATAAACTGGGTCAAATGAAGTTTTATCGTCTGACCAATGAGTAAATCCTTCTTCTGTTTTGGCTTTATCCTTTAGTTTCGCTGTATGTTCCTTAGACATTGGGTGCTTAGCCATTAATAAGGTATACACAATTATTACTTTTGAACGTAAATCTTCGGCTGCATCAAAATTATCCAATAAATATTTTAGTCCCTTGTCAATAGCAGCCTTGTACTGGGCTGATGCTTTCTGTAATAAAATGTATATAAAATTTTAAGAATATAGAAATTAGTTCATCACTTCATTTACTTACTTCATTGGCGAAGAAAGCCAACAATACATTGGCAGTCAGTGATACATGTCGTTTTTGATGATTGAAGAAAAGTTCACCGGCTTCAAGGAATGTACCATTTTCCGCTTGTTTGCTCGCTAAATATTTAAATCCATTCTCAAATAGTTTTTCATCAACATTGATAAGGTCCGTTGTTTTATTTAACGATCGAAGCACATAAGCAGTGAGCCAAGTTGAACCGTTGACTGGATGTTGGCTGTTTTCCCTTGGGCCAAATGAACTAAATGAGCCATCAGAATGTTGGAACTTGAGTATATTCTGATAACCACTTTGCAAGCCATTAAGGATTTTGTATGATAAAGCAGGTGTAAGTTTGTTTATGCTCTGTGGAGTAATATTTATAAAAATATTTTACTTAGTGAAAAAATACTAATTAAATCACTTTCCATACGCACCTTTAAGTAACGATAGACTAATATGTTAGGTACCATTTTTGATGTTGTTTGTTCACCACAACCTTGTGGCAAGCGTACCAAATTCTCTAGATTATTCATGACTGGACCCAATAAATCACCAACAACTGCAAATTCTGTATGCTGCGATAATGGCACAATTTCTTTTGGCAGATCTAGCTCTAAAGTTTCCTTAAATTCATCTCCATTTTTCAAGTCCACAAGGTATGCGCGATTCTTGTATTCTGTGATACCTTCAGGCACCACTTTCAAAGACTTATGCACAGCATCTCCAGCAATGGGTGAGATGGCAGTAAATTTAAGCAATATGTTACCAACTATTTTGGGGCGTATCATAAACGAAGCGCCGGCTGCAGAGTTGCCATCTACACGTACTGTAGCTGTACGTTTCTTATCATTTATGACTTCATTGGAAACTTCAGTAAATTCGAATTCGTCATCAACATTATCAAGTGTTATGGTAACATCGAGATCTTTTTCCAAATAATTAAACACTAACGCTGGCACATTAATCACTTCACCTAAAATCAAAACAATTAAAATCTAGTTTTTTTTTTAAGTGTAACAGTTATCTTTACGAACCTCGTTTAACTGAGTAGGGTAATCTTATCGCTACGAAGAATGGCTGGAATGTTGTTATTTTTGTTTGGTCTTTGGTAACGGCGAGTCCCTTCTCATCATTAAGTGCAAAGCCTGAGAGTAGCCACTTAGTAATAGTGTGGGGTATTTTTTTTGTGTACGTGAATTCATCAGAATCAGTACTAGAGAAAGAAAAAAATATTATTGAGTATTTTATGATTATAAATGCTTATTTTTTTGTTTTATATTATAAAAAAAAAATTAATTTTTCTTGTACTTATAGCATATACGTACCTATTAATATTGTCGAATATCCAGGTTTCAGAAAAGTCACTTCGTACTTGAATATTGCCTCCACCACTTTCAGGGGCTCCAAATCCAGCAATAAAAACAGGTGATGCAGCTGCTAATGGTCCAGGTGGTCCTTTTCGCATTGATGTTTTTGTTGAATGAGAGAAAGACATAGGTATATCATGCTGCACCATATCACTTCTAAATGTTGAAATGGTATAATCTGGTTCTGTCCAATTGTATTCGTAATGTGCATTCGTTAATGTCACAACACCAGAAGATTGTCCCGGATAGTATGAATAACCGCCTTGCCAAGGTGTGTGAGTATTGTAATTACTCAAACGCCATTGGAAATCGCTTGCAGTAATATCATTATTGGAACCAAGTAGAGTAACACTCTGATCTATGGCTAACAAACCAACAAAAGAATTTGCTGGTGTTTTTATCTTTAAAGCGACATCATCACCAGGTTTTGTTTGTTCAACTGCCGTAATTGTTATCTAAAATATTGAAGAACATATATTACTAAACATTATTTATTTTGCATTCAGAAAAAATACTTCATTTTGTAGTTTTACTGCTGTACGAAAAGATGTCTCCTCATGATGATAATTGCCATGCTCATCTACATAGTAGACATAAATTTTAACCCAGGGAGCCATAGAAAATGTTGTCGGGAAGGTTATATTGTACTCTTTCGGTTTATTGGGTAACTCTATGCGTTCACTGTGCAAAATGTTTCCACGTCCAATGAGGTTGTAGACAATATATGACAAAGGTTCACTTGAGTTCACAGTTACAGTTGCTTTGTCGCCGATCTCGTAACTATTTAAATGAGTTTATTACAAAATAACTACATTGAAAAACTTGAATAGATTAATAGATTAGATTAAACAAAAGAAGTAATGTACTTCATTAGTTGTGCAGTTGTGAAGTTGTTCGATAAGATCACAGATATGGGAAGATGGAAAGCTTATTTCATCTATAAAACATATACGTATATATACGAATACATTTTATTATTATTTAGAGTTCGAAAAAATTTTTCGTAATAAATTAAATTATAGTTATTTATTTAATATTATAAATTCAATTCAGAAACGTTATTTAGCATATATATAATATACTTATTATTTTTATTACTATTACTTTAATTATTATCATCATTATCATATTTCTGTTGGTTGTTTTTTAATTTAGCTACACCCCATCTTTTTCTTTGTGTATCTTTTGCTTAGATAATATATTATAAAATATATTAGTAATATAATTATTATTACTATTACTATTATTAGTACTATTATCATTATTATATTTCCCTTGGTTGTTTTTTTAATTTAGTTACCCCCCATCTTTTTGTGCATCTTTTGTTTTTATATTATTATTTTTATCTTTTTCATATATATATACCATACTTTTTATGTAATTATTATTATTAGTATTACACTATTTTTATATAGCAAAAATATATATACAATATTTTTGTTAAATTAATTTTTTATGAAACTAAAAATATTGAAAAATTGCAAACGTTTTTTGAATTCTATATATATATATATATATATATATTATATATTATATATTATATATTATATATATTTTTTCTATATAAAAATAGTGTTATACTAATAATAATAATTACATAAAAAGTATATATATATATGTTATATATATATTAAATAAATAAATTACCTATATTTTTTCTCATCATATATAGTACGCAGTCTAAAATAGTCTTTAGGTTCTTCATTCGGTACTGTAGGTGTAAATTCTTTAGGCTCTCTGTATTGATAAGCTGTGAAAACATTTCGTTTTTCTCCCGCATATTCAATTTCCATTTTGAAGTGATGAGAATAACCATTATACTCAGCTAATGATGGTAATACCACAACAAAATTAACAAAGCTTGTATCATTAAGACGACTTGTAAATGTGAAAGACTTTTCATTATTAACAGGATTTGGCTCAATTGGTTTGTCCTTATCTTCATTCCAATAGGTTTTTTCCACATTTTCTGTATATGTAAGTTTCACTTCAGATTTGGTATCCTTCAAAGGTGAATTGTCAACATAAGACAATCGAAATATTATTTCAGTTTCTTTATCAGGATAGAATGTGGAACAATTTGGGTAATTAACACAATTCATGAAATATCGGTAAGGATATAGGAAAGAGTTAGCAGTGCCATTAATTTTCACACCAGTAAAGTTCTCTTCAACAGTTGCGAAAATTTTAAAATAATATGAGGACAATTTTTGTGGCATATAGGCCCCATACTCTTTCACATTAAAATCGAATTTTGCTTTGCCTTTAACCATATCAGTTGTTTTGATGAGTTTTGGTGCGGGAACCACTTCTTTCTCTGAACCATAAACATTATTATCCAATTCACAGACGAGGGTAACCTTGGCATCGACGGGTTTGCCGTAAGTGTAGCTGTTAATAGAAATTTCTTTTTTTTTTAATTGCAATATAAGAAAATAAAAATAAAACCATTTTTTCTATTAACAGAAAAAAATAAATATAAATAATAAAAAATAAAAGTATATTAATAATTAATAAAATATTAATCATTTTATAAGATTAGCGAAAGTTTTAACATCGAATAAAATATTAATAAAGAAACAATAAGAAAAAATATTTGATTACAGAAAAGGAACTAAAGTAAAACGCAACTAACAAAAACATGAAAGACAAGAATATAAAAATTATATATATAAAAATTAAAAAAAAAAAATAAGTAAATTAACAAAATTAAATTAAATCAAATAAAATAAAATGAAGAAGTAATATATGATCAAAAATCAAAATGGTATAAATTATATATATACCCATGTATATTTTAATCATATACATACAAGTACATTAATACGTATATATTTATATAAATATACTATATGCATATTATTGGACCTATTCTATGCACTTGACACATTTGTCAAATTCTTTAATAAAATTCTTGATTTTTATATAGCAGAAAGCTTTCTGGTATTCTGGACACATCCTGACAAATTTCAAATCTCAAGTACCTGGTGCTTCTCACCACCCTATGGTGTAAAGTGTTTTGTATAGAAAACTGTTCGTAATTGTTCGTAACTGTTCGCAACTGTTCGTAAAAAATGCTTGTAAAGAGCATATATTTTAAGTTGTCAAATGCATTTTTCATGCATTTAAATAACAATAAAAAATATGCTTGTAAAGAGCGTATATTTTAGTTAAGAATATTTGTCATGCATGCAAAAAATAAAAAATGCTTAAAAAGAGCATATTTTTACAGTTGTCAACAGCATTTGTAGTATTGATAACTAACAAGGGAAAGAGCTTTTTATTTATGTCACAGAATACCAAAACCTTTACAGCAGTCAATTTTGACAAGTGTCAATGTTTGACATATATATATTATATTACATACATATTTTTCTAAATTATTTAAATTTTTTAAAATTTTTTATTTTATTTTGTTAAAACTATTTTTTTTGCATTTATTCTTATATTTTTACACTTATAAAGAGTATTACTAAATTTATATAGTTTTATTTATTTATTTATTTAGTTTTATTTATTTTATATATATATATATATATAAATATATATATATAATATATTCTGATTCTGATATTCTATTCTTATGTATATGTAATATATACATATATATACGTTTCTAAACTTATAAAGAGTAGTACTTTATACATACATATATTATTATAATAATATATATACTATATATTATTATACATATATATATGTATATATATATATATACACATATATGCATAAATATATATAATAATATATGCATTTATAAAATACTACTCTTTATAAGTTTAGAAACGTGAGAATAAATTCAAAAAAGAGAATATTTTTAACAGAATAGAATAAAACATAAAATTTAAAAAAATTAAAATAAACTAAAATCAAAATTAAATAAAATCTATTATTTTCCTCTATAACTCGAGGAAAGTAAAAAAATTATAAAAACCTAAAATTGCATGTCAAATGAAGTGACACAAAAAAAGTTAAAAGTATAAAATTAAATGAAACAAAATATAAAAGCAAATTATTAAAAAATTTTTGTGATAATAGAATAAAGTTTCAACAGAAGTAAAATAATAAAATAAATTAAAACGAGAGATTTATATTACTTTAATACGAAATAAAATAAAGTAAGAGTTAAATAACTCAAAATAAAATACTTATAAATAAAATATTTGAAAAAACATGTATTTGTATATTAAATATGTATAAAATAAAATATGTTTAAATAAGCAAAGACTAAAAGTAAAATAATAAAATAAGATTTGAACGAATTTAAAATTAAATGAAACAAAATTAAGTAACAAAAAAATAACATAGATATATAAGTGTATTTTTAAAACTAAATAAAAAATGAAATGAAATAAAATAAACTGATTGTAAATAATGTACATGGCCATAAAAATGTATGACTACCTCAACATATATGTTATATATTATTAACAGTTAATCTTGTACGTTACATATTTTAGTGACAAGCACTTACTTTGCTCTAACAACGACTTGCATATCGCCATCTAGTACCGAAACGCTTTCTGTTGCAGTAACATCGACCTTGTATTTGGGCAGAGTGTACTTATCGATTTTGAAGGAAGCCTGTTGATCATAGGTATCAGCATTATGTACCACAATACGCCAATAGCCTAGTACTGCATATTCGGATATTTCAAATTTCCCCGTGTAGACACCTTTAACAACCTCCAAGTCCTTAATTTCCTTTATGCGATTCCGTTTACTATCCTATATGTAAAAATATTAAATAAATTTTTTTTTAAATGGTATTTAATTATTTGGTATAATTTACCTCAAACCATATAATAACATCTTTTGATGGTAGCCCGGGTTTAAGATTTTCATCTAAGAAAATCACGCGGAAATTTACTGTATCACCTGGTTTATAGACACCTTTATCAGTTTGTATTTTTACGTAATTCTTAAAGGTCTCCTGATTGAGTAGAGTGGTATTTTTGAAAATTATGCCTGAAAGACCCTCAGCTGTTAAATTGTATTTGCCGCTCTCTAACTTTGGAACATCGAATGAAATTTCTTTCGTTCCATCTTGAGCTAAATCAACTTCTTTTGTTTCATTGTATGAAGGTCCAGTGATGCCAACCTTAATTTTAAGTGGCGACCCTACTTTGTATCCACTGACTGCGACATTGTAGTGACGATTAGAGTGTAACGTACCAGGTCCAATTACTGTGTATTTACTTTCGTTTCTAATGTAAAAATGCAAAAAGAAAAAAATATTTCAATTATTAATAAAAAAAATATGAGCAGTTAATGTTTTCTTTTAGATTTCATAAGGTTTTATTAGTTTATTTATTAATATTTTTTTGGATTTGAAAAAAAATCTAAAGTTCTGGTTTTGTATTGAAACCAAAAAATGAAAATATAAAATATTGTTGAGAACAGTTATTCAAGATTAATGTCTATTTTTAATAAATAGGGTCTATGATCATTTTTTTTTGCCGGAATGGTGTGTACGACTTCTACTGTGTAGTATATGAACTAAAATATCCCTTTTCTTCTTCGGGATTTCTTTTCTCGGGACCGCTTTCGCATTACTTCAGGAAGGATCCCTTATATGTTTGCTATCCATGTCGTAAGCTTATAGTAGAATTGAATTGGAAAGTCTTTAGTTTAGTTTGCGTCCAGGTCTTTCTTTTTTTCTTTTCGCACATTTCCGATGAATTATGTGTTTTTATTCCAATTTTCTGCTCATTCTGTCATTTTTTTCAATGATATGCTCGACTGTGAAGTGACTTACATATTCTGCAAGTAGTGATCTTTCTCCATACCATCTTTCGCAGTTGAAGAAAGTATGGTAACCATTGTCCTCGATTGATCTGCAGTTGGGCTGCTCTATATTTTGCATTCTGTATAGATATTTTCGATAGTCAATCTCGCTGCAATTCCTTTCTGCCCATAACTTAAACATTCGGAACTAGCTTTGCTGTTCGTCGTCCTCTTAAATCGATGTTCCATCGTTGTTGTCAAATCTGCAGTTGAGTTGTTTGTCGATCTCTGTTCCCAGCGTTTTTTCCGATAATGTGCCTGAAGGTTGCTAGGAATGATTATAGTAATCACTACAACTGTTGGTCTGTGACCATTTAGATGATTCACTGTAATAAGAGTTCCATTCAATTCTGGTAAGTTATTCACATGATTTTATATTTTAAAGCCCAGCCCAGGTTAACATAATATACCCTCGGATTTGTTTAAAATTTTTTTTTGAGTTACTAAATTAAAAAAATTATCCAAATGTTGCAAAAAATGTTTAAATATTTTTTCCTATAAGATATAACTCTTTGGAGTTTTGAGCACTTACACTAGTGATTAATACTAAACGTTATAGGCGTGATGTGTCTATTTAGTTGATGCAAAATGAGATATTATTATTGATTTTACAATGGTTGTTCTATGAGTGTAGAAATCATCCCAACAACGCAATTAGTGAATTTTACACAATTAAAGTAATTAACTCAAATAGTAATTAAGAGAAAAAAATAAATTAAATATTTTTGCATAAATATTAGAGATAATTATAAAGATGTTCCATTAATTTGAAACAAGTTTTCATGAATTTTGAATAACAGATTCTACCGGTAAAGTATAGAGTCGTGACTTCAGTCATTTATCAACTTAAGGTTATGAATATTTCGATAATAGTTTTCTATTTTTGTGTTAAGAGATATAGTAGATATCACTATTTACAGCAATTGATGCTAGGAAGATATCCATTTTGTATTTAGGAGAGACAGGTTAATGGTTTAATTCCTTCAATTAATTCGATTGAATCATTAAAAAGAGTCTAAAAAGAGTCAGTTAGAGGGGGCATAAACTGACTCCCGCAAATGGTTGCCCCACCATACTCATCTCACAGTTAAAACGGGTACTGAACAGCCTAACCATCGATGGGAAAAATAACAATGAGCAGTTTTCATGAATTTTCAATAACAGAGTCTACCGGTAAAGTATAGAGTCGTGACTTCAGTCATTTATCAACTCAAAGATATGATTATTTCGATAATAGTTTTCTATTTTTGCGTTAAGAGATATAGTAGATATCACTATTTACAGCAATTGATGCTAGGAAGATATCCATTTCGTATTTAGGAGAGACGGACTAATAGCTTAATTCCTCCACTTAATTCGATTAAATCGACAATTTAACTCAATTTTCTGCGATTTTCTGATAAAAATAAAAATATTGCATTCAACAAAAAACGAATGATAAAAATAACATTTACAATTGTTATATTAATTGCATTTATTATTGAGTTTTGTGGATATAAAAATATTTTCAGTATAATTAAAGTCATTAACTGAACCGATACGAAAGGGTATGTTCGAGGCACTTATTACCGCGTTGTGCTAAATTATATTGACGTGAATAATGATCAAGATATGAGCATGGGAATCCCAAGGTGTTGAGCTGAGTAAGAGTAAAAAATAAGCATAAATTTATATAATTTATATAATTTGTTGTTGGTTTTTTTTTTTATTTTTTTTTTTCATTTTGCGGTGTGAAGTAGATATTGTTTAAGTTTGTGTGTGGGGCGAATACCCACGGTAAAAACCGCCAAATATTTGCTATGCACACACCGTGAGTGCGACGTGGATTGTTTGCTTAATTAGCCAGTTCCAAATCAGTCGAGATTCCCCCACAAACCAATTAATTCCGCTTAATAGAGCAAATGTATATTTAGTTTTAAATGCACTTCATGAATTATTCAAAACACTCTTAATGGAGTTATAAAAATCAATTGTATGATAATTAAAAAATAATAAAAATAATAATTACCGGTTTTGCGAAAAAACCTATTAAAACAATAATTTTAATTTATAGTTTTAATAAAGTTATGTCAAATAAAATTGCTTAATATTATTTCGCCAAACTAAATGCAAAATGCCCAAAACATATATAAAAAGTATTGTTCATATATTATATTTGGTTTTGTTTTTTATTTGCAAATAAATTTCTGATACCATTTATTATTTATTGAATTTTATTTAATTTTTTTTTTGTTTTTGTTTTTTTGTTATTGCAATATTAATTAACTTGATTTATTTGAAATATATGTAAATTTTTTATTTAACAAACAACAATCGCTTATTGCTTAAAGTGTATTTTTATTCGTGTCTATTTAGTAATTAAATATTTTAAATTTACTACCAAATTTCATTTTAATTTAAATTTGATTAAAAAAAAGTGTCTTTGTTCAATATTTGCAGCCAGCGGGTTAATATAAATGCTCAAGTGAGTTGTGATGTATAAGGCTCCATACCAACCCAACATATATAGCAGACGCATGTATGTACTTGAAAATCGAATACATCCCCTACAAAATAGTTGATGAATACTAATAAATAATAAAATAAGAGGATATCAATCCTATTTCTGCATACATGAGATACTTACTTAGTAGACTCAGCGGTAACACAATGAGCCAATATGCTTAAGTGGGTTATAGTACTGTGAAATTCCTACTCTAAATTATTTATAGATTAGCTTGCAGAAGAATCAATTTATTAGATAAGCTAATCAAATTCCCTACAAACAATTTGATAAATGCTAATAAATAAACAAAATAACAGGATGTCAATCCTGTTTCTGCACAAATGAGATACTTACTTAGTAAACTCAGTGGTAACGCAATGAGCCACTATATATGCTTAAGGGGGTAAAGATATGGTGAAATTCCTACTCCAAACTATATATAGATTAGTTTGCAGATGCATAGATTTACTAGATAAGCGAATCAAATTCCTATAAATTAGTTGATGAATAGTAATAATAATAATCAAAATAACAGGGAATCAATCCCATTTCTGGACACATAAGATACTTACTTAGTAGACTCAGTGGTAACACAATTAGCCAATATTTATGCTTAAGTGAGCTATATTATGGTGAAATTCCTACTCCAAACTATATATAGATTAGTCAAAGCAATCAAATTTCTAAAAACTAGCCGACGGTATGCTAACAGTTGAACAAAATAATGGGTTGTCACTCTCATTTCTTTATTAAGCCTCTAAAAACAGTTTCCCGCTGAGGAATCATATAATATATTCTATGATTATAATACATTATAAAATTTCTGTGACAGATACTTTCTCTATAAAATAACACATAAACAAATAATGACGTTTTTCTACACTACCAACCTCAGCATACCATACAAAAAAACGTTTTAAGAAATATTTGAAAACTTTTTGACAGAAAAGAATTGGAACTTGGAGAGGGATATCTTAGCTTAAAATCTTTACCTATTTATTATCTATTACACCAAACAAAAGACCGTTTTAAGAAATATTTGGAAACTTTATTTTTTTTAACAGAAAGGAATGGGAATTTTGAGAGGGATATCCAGGCTTAAAATCTTTATTTATTCATTTATAGTCAGTTCCCTGAATACATGAGATTTGTATCTCAATAATAAAATTGTTTTTATTAGTTCTTTTGTATATATTTTGTATCAAATAGTTCTTTGCATAACATTACATTATGTAAGGTCTTAAGCTCCATTCCGATTAAAATTTTATTTTCTTTTTGTAGCTTCAATATTTTTTCTAAATCAAAACATAAAATTATATTAGTTTCATAGTGCACAGTTGAATCTATAAATAAATTTAATTGGATAATATAATAATATATAAAACAGAGTTTGCGTTTTAAACAGTACCATTTCCTAAAAGCGAGTACCATAATACCAGACGGAAAGAAAGGATCAATTTTGGTACTAAAGTACCACATGTTGTAACTGTGGTTTTAGCAACTATTTTTTTTATGATTAAAACAATATATTTTTGAATTGGACTGTTTTATGTAAATTTTTTGGAAAAAAGATATTCTTTTCACTAAGGCTGGGCGGTTATACTTCGTCAGTCCCCACAGTGTTATTTTTCCCTTACTGTATTTGTTTCTAAAGCTGAAAATTTGAGTCGAAGAACAAAAATTCTGGTGAAATAAATAGGTGATATAAGCTGTGAATACGTTTTTTTGAAGACTTTAACTCAATTTACCCCTTAGTAAATAGAGTTGTGTTGAAATATTAATAACTATAATTTAAAAGTGATTTTTTTCATATTGAACGCGATACTTTTTGAACGCTCTATTTATGATTTGTTAATTTATAAATCAACAAAAGTTATTTTTTTTAAATTTTTTCCTACTGAAATGATGTACGTGAGATCTCACTAAATATTTTTA